TAGTGTTTCCAAATATGCTGCAAGTTTACTGTGCGTTACTTTATTCATTTTTTTCTGTATGTTATGCATTTTATCTAGAATGAAATATTTGAAAGCACTACATTTTAAAAACAGTATAATCATGTTTTAACTTTTCTATTTTTTTTCCATTAAATGTATAACTCATTGTGTGTGTATATTTATATATAGGTGTACATATGTAGGTGTGTATATGTATATGTGGATATATGTGTATATAAATATATAGAGCAAGGGTAAGCTTGGCATTTTCCTGACACAAAACCATAAAATAATGCAGCCTAGCAGCTAAACTGCAAAAACTATATAAAAATAAATTTAGAGGATGCACTCAAAAGGTTTCTTAGGTATACGTGGTTTCATGTTATATCGGCAAAATTACAAAAATATGGACGATCTTTTTCAAGAGCTGTAAAAAAAACTTAGCGTTTAAACATCAATCGGTCACATATATGTAAGTCTGCTTATATAACATTAAACCACTTATACCTAAGAAGACCTTTGAGTATTTATTTATAAAAATTTTTACCAGGATGGATACATTGAGATTTCACTATTTTTCAAATATGTCCTGGGTCCACAAAACATTGCATTGTTACATTTTAATTACCTAGAAAGAAAGTGAGACAGAGGGACTAGTATCTCAGCAAAGGGAATTACCTTAGATTTTTAAACTTGTTAAATGACACCTTCAAGTCACAACTTGTACAAGCACCAACTAGAAAGGATGCTTGTCTGGACCTAGTTTTAACACACAACGTTGATCTTTTGACCAACGTTCAAGTAGGTGAGCACTTGGGAAATAGTGATCACAATGTAGTGTCCTTTGAAATAAACTCAAAAAAAAAAGCACATGGGGTATACTAAAACATATAATTTTAAAAAGGCCAATTTCTATAAGTTAAGGGCAGCTTTACAATATATTGACTGGCAGAAACTCTTTAGTGAAAAGAACACTGAGGATAAATGGAACATCTTCCAACAAATATTAGAAAGGTACATTTCTCAGTAATACATATAAAAGAAACAAATTCAAACCAATGTGGCTTAGTAGAGAAGTAAAACAAGAGATTAAAAATAAGAAAAGGGCATTTAAAGTATTTAAATCGGACAGATCAGATGCATCTTATAAAAGATATAGGGAAGCCAATAATGCGTGCAAAAAGTCAATTAGATTTGCTAAACTTCAAAATAGAAAAATGATAGCTAAAGAGACCAAAACCAACCCCAAAGCATTTTTTAAGTACATAAATTCTAAAAAACAAAACAAAAAATGAAAGTGTAGGTACACTAAAAACTGAAACGGGGTGTTAGTTAATGAAGACCAGGAAAAGGCAGGAATTTTAAATAACAATTTCTCCTCCATATATATTAAGGAAGAACCCATGGTAATTGATGTGCAAATGATTGCTACTAAAAACTTGCAGAATAATTGTAATTGGTTAACTCAAGACAAGGTGCTGCAGCAACTAAAGAAAGTTAACATAAACAAAGCTCCAGGGCCTGACGGTATCCATCCACGAGTACTTAAGGAACTAAGTGTAGAAATAAGTGAACCTCTGTTTTTAATCTTTCAAGATTCTTTTATTTCAGGAAGTGTTCCGGAGGATTGGAGGAAGGCAGATGTGGTTCCTATATTCAGAAAGGGTTCAAAGCCTTGCCTGGAAATTATAGACCTGTGAGCTTAACTTCTGTGGCTGGGAAAATATTTGAAATGTTATTAAGGGATAATATTCAAGAATTCCTTGAGAAGAACATGGTTATCAGCAAAAATCAGCATGGTTTTATGAAGCACAGGTCATGTCAAACTAACTTGATTGCATTCTACGAAGAAGTAAGTAGAAGTGTAGATCAGGGTGTTGCAGTGGGTGTGATATATTTGGATTTTGCCAAGGCATTTGATACAGTTCCACACAATAGATTAGTGTTCAAACTCAAGTAAATTGGTCTAGATGAAAATGCTTGTTCTTGAGTAGAACATTGGCTTAAAAATAGAGTACAAAGAATTGTCGTTAATGGAAAATTTTCAAGCTGGACAGAGGTGGCAAGTGGTCTCCCTCAGGGGTCTGTTCTGGGACCCCTTCTATTTAACATTTTTATAAATGATCTTGAAGAAAGCATTGAAAGTCATGTTTCAGTGTTTGCAGATGACACAAAACTCTGTAAAATAATACAATGTGAGCAAGATATTACTTTACTGCAGAGGGATTTAGATAGCCTAGGGGACTGGGCACTCAAATGGCAGATTAAATTTAATGTTGAAAAATGCAAAATTATGCACTTCGGCGTAAAGAATACACAAGCAACGTATACCCTTAATGGGATTAGGTATAACCACACACGAAAAGGACTTTGGAATTGTTATAGACAACAAACTATATAACAATGTGCAATGTCAATCAGCAGAGGCCAAGGCCAGTAAGGTATTGTCATGCATGAAAAAGGGCATTCATTCTCGAGACGAGAATATAATTGTGCCTCTTTATAAATCACTGGTAAGACCACATATTGAAAAATGCTGTGCAATTTTGGGCACCTGTTCTAAAGAAGGATATAATGGCACTAGAAAAAGTGCAGAGGCGGGCTACAAAATTAATAAAAGGAATGGAACATAGCAGCTATGAAGAAAGGTTAACTAATTTAAAACTATTTAGTTTAGAAAAACATTGCCTGAGAGGGGTTATGATAACATTATACAAATATATTCGGGGCCAATACAAACCAGTGTGTGGAAATCTATTCACAAACTGGACTTTACATAGGACACGAGGTCATGCGTTTAGACTGGAAGAAAGAAGATTTCGTCTAAGGCAAAGGAAAGGTTTTTTTTACTCTAAGAACAATAAGGATGTGGAATTCTCTGCCTGAAGAAGTGGTTTTATCAGAGTCCATATAGATGTTCAAAGAGCTACTAGATGCATACTTGCAAAAACAGAATATTCAATGTAGGGTATTAACTGCTTGATCCAAGGATAAATCTGACTGCCATTCTGGGGTCAAGAAGAAATTTTTTTCCTAGCTTGTTGCAAAATTGGAAGTGCTTCAAACTGTTTTTTTTTTTGCCTTCTTTTGGATCAACAGCAAAAAACAAATGTGAGGAAGGCTGAACTTGATGGACGCAAGTCTCTTTTCAGCTATGTAACTATATGTAACAATAGGATACAATATTACAAAAATACAATATACAATCTATATATATATATATATATATATATATATATATATATTGCCGTAGATCTCTTAAAAGATTTTAGATTGACTGTGTCCCTGAGGTTATTCCATAATTGCAGTGCTCTGTAGGAAAATGAGTATCAAGCCACTTTATTTTTGTATTGCGGTATGCTAAATATCGTGTTAGTACTGGATCAGAGTTTATAGTAGTTGGGAACAGCTGGGGAGAACATTCTACTCAGGTAGGGTGGGAGCTTCCCAGAAATGCTGTTATGCACAAGGCTGGAAAGATGAAGAGTGGATTCCAGCGACAGCCAGTTTAGCTCTTTTAACATGTCACAGTGGTGGGTAAAGTAATTACATTCTAGTACAAAGCGGCAGAATTAATTATATAATGTATTAAGTTTATTAAGGTGGGTTTGCGGTGCAGGTGCATACACTAGATCCCCATAATCAATGACCGGCATTAGCATTTGCTGCACTATCTGTTTCCTTACTGTAGGGCTTACACAGGATTTGTTTCTGTACAGGGCACCTAGTTTTACGTAAAGTTTTGAAGAGATTTTTTTCAATGGGAAGGCCAAAGGATAGATTGGGTCTGGCAACATAGATATTTAAAAAAGCAGACTGCTGTCAGTGTTCTATTCGAATTTGTTATGAAACAGTTGTTGATTTTGTAGTTTACGTAATTTAGGTACAGTTTCAAAGATCATTGTAACAGTTTTGTCAGTGTTTAGGAAGAGTTTGTTATCCGCTATCCACTTTTCTACCTCTCTGAATTGCTGCGGTAGCTTGGGTTTACTAGCGTATATTACAGTGTCAAAACTACATATATGTGTACAGTTGAGGATTTGCAGACATTAGGAAGATAATTTATAAATAATGTGAATAGCAGGGGGCCGAGTATGGAGCCTTGGAGAACACCACACGTGACTGGAAGAGAGAGGGAAGCGCTATCAGAAAAGGCCACATATTGCTATTGGTCTGAAACATCCGATCGAAACTACGTTAGCGGACAATCACCAATGTCCAAGTTTTTTACTTTGCAAAAGAATGCCATGGTCTACTGTGTCAAAGGCCTTGGAAAAAATGAAGGTAAAAAGCTCCAGTTAAGTCTCCTTGTTCCATGCCAATTTGGATGTCATTGCAAACTTTTAAAAGGACAGTTGAAGTTGAGTGATTTGGATGAAAGCCTGGTTCATCAGGGGTCAGATAAATTGATCATTAATAATATTCACATAGTTGACATAGATTCCAAGATTTTTGACCGGGAGCAATGATATTGGGCGATAGTTAGATACCAAAGTATTGTCACCACTTTTATGGATAGGTACAACTTTTGCAGTCTTCCAATGTTTGTGTATGTATCCTGAGACCAGAGATTCGTTGATAAAGGTAGTGACAGGTTTAACAATTGCTGGCGCACCAAGCTTCAGCATCATTGCTGGGATATGATCTGGTCCACACTGGTTTTTCATTTTTAAATTATTAAGATGTTTATTAATGACTCTAACAGGCACAGGTCTAAAAGTGAATTTCTCTATATGAGGATTTTGAAGAATTGGCAGGGCCAGATCTTTATTTGCGGTCTGTCATTTGTTATCTTAGCAACCAGGGTGGTAGCACATCCTACAAAACAATTATTAAAGGCATTTGCTACATCTAGGGGGTGTTGCAGTGGCAGTGTTTGGTTGTCCATTTTGACAGTGGAGGGTTGGGTGTGGATTGTGGGGGTTTGTATACTATTTATGATTTTCCAGATGTTTCTTGGGTTTGATAGGTTGTTGTTTGTAGATGCGAATATCCATTATGCTCAATATCCTAGCTGTTCATAGAAGGGTTAATTTGACCCAAGAATAAATTTGGAATTGTATCTCCAATTCTCGGAAATAAAACTTATCTATTTATTGGAACATGATTTTGTTATGTTCCTGGAAAAGGATATTTACATGACATGACATGACATGACATGACAAGGATTCTGGAATGACCTTGTTAATTGTCCAAGATTTCGGTATTTGTAATCATCTGGGTTTTATCCAATATGCATACATTATGTAACATTGAATTATAACTAAAAACAGCTGTTTATAACTTGTGAAAAACAATGTCATTGTCACGCCCATATGCTCATTTTTCCCCCTCCCATCCTGCTATGAAAATGGGGTATAAATATAACTGACGTATGAATACAATTTGAATTGGTTATTGAACATGTCTCTGCTATTCATTTCCAATTTCCAGACCTCTGTATGAGTTGACAAAAATCCATCATCCACAAAGGGCCCGGGCTGATTTTATCCCCAACAAACTGGTGTCAGAAGTTTGGGTGCAATTAGGAACGGAGTTGCAGGTAAGAGGGTCTTTAGCCCCTTGGGGACACAACTTCTGGAATAGAAGGGAATCATGACGGAGTATTTCTGTCGTGTGTCCTTAAGGGGTTGGAGACCTTTGCCTGCTTCTGCCATCCTCCCACACATTGCATTTCTTGTTTTAATGGGGTTTTTCACTATTTACATTTTTAAAGGGGATTTTCACGGGATAATGTCTTTGGTAGACATGGTATTTTAAGTCTTAGGTAGACTTCTATTACTCCACGGGTTGGAGTAACGCCTTTGGTAGGCAGTAGTAGTTATGTGCACATTTCCTCTTTGGTAAGAGGTTCACCTTTGGCCAGGTGTTAAAACGAATTTCAAGCCTTTGGTAGGCTGTGATGTCCTGTGATGTACATTTACATATGGGAGACGTCCCTAGATCCCTCTTTGGTAGAGGTTGTCTTTGGTAGGTTGTAAAACAGATTTCCAGTCTTTGGTGGACTGTGGTATTTATTTAACGTAGATGTAAATGTTACAGACTAAAATGGTTTAAAAAAAAAAAAAAAAAAAGGGGGTTAAAAGGTATGATGGATGTTTGGCATTACTCCGGCTTGCTAATTTATGTGCTATTTTATGATGTGCAACGCTGATTTTAAGCATAAAGTCTTAATTGAGGGAATGTCAAAAGTACATGTAAAGGTGATGATGAATAAGAAAAAATTAGAGGTTATTTAAGGGGGGGGGGCTACAAATTCTAGAACTAACATGATTTCTCTGCATGTATGTTTGTTTGCATAATGAGCCCCTTATTTTTATACTTGGACAAAAGTACTATAAGCCCACTACACTTTTTCATGAGAGTGGGATGCATGATTGTTTATATGATGAGCCCTTTATTTTCATATTGGGACAAAAAGTCACTTCATTCAAAACGTCAAACACCACATTCTTTCTGCCCTGTGTGTTTGTTGCAGAGAATTTATGTTGTAAATTTAGAAGAGAGCAAAATTTATATTTTCAGCGTTCCAACACATGCTTAATTTTGTGCTGTAAGCTAACTTGTAGTATTCCAGTACGTCACATGTTGTATGTGCTTTAAATTGTATGTATTCTGTAAATTGTTGTATGGGGTTGCTGAGATTTTATTGATTGTGACCCAAACTGTGAAGAAGTGGGTTTGAAATTTTGGTCATGGAATGTAGGATCAGAAAACCATGGACAAAGGTTTTAACCTGTGTTGATATGACTTTTGGAAACTCAAACTGACCGGTCAAAATTTTGCCATGCCTTTAACATGGAGTAGTATAAATATTTTGAGTCTTTGAGAGTTCTGACAAATGCAGGTGATACCATGTCTGTGTAATCTGGTCCAAATGTTCTATAAGTGTATAAGAGAGAAATTCTATTGACAGGGTACATATGTTGCAACTGGTTAATGCAAGTGTTATACAAATGTTTAAGTCGAACGTGTTATATGGCCGTACGGGATCCCTTCTTTATAAAGAAAAAATAAACCCTTTGGTACCAGAACTCTTAAATAAATCTAAAATTGGTATACCTTACAATAATATGTTCTGAATACAGCTGTTAGAAGTTTATTCTGTGTGAATGATGATTGTCATAAATGTTTGTTTTGGTTACTCATTTTGAAGTGCGCAGTTTAATTGTCATGTATGTTAATGGGTATGTTGCTGTGTTATTTTAAATTATATTTGAATAAGTTTGTCTTAGTATTGATACAGATGGAAATGGCAGCGTAATAATCTATTAAATAACTGATTTATTATTGAATACTAGTCCAAGAGCAATATGAGTTGTAGTCTTAAGAAAGGGAAAAAAAAGGGGAGGCTGTTTTTGTAAATTTTAGCTGATTTCCAAAATTCTATTGCAATAATGGACTTCCTGCCAAAATTTGACTTTCCTGCCCAGTTGCCAGGTGCTCTGATCTAATCTTAAAGTAGTACTGCTTGCATAGTTTGCAGACATGCATAATGCACAAACATGAGAACCAAATTATGTCTGTCATAGTGTGACATTTATTAATTTATTTTGGATTGAGTTAATTGCCTGTCCATGAATATGCTTTTTGTATTGGCATGTCTGCTGGATATCTGCTACATGTTTTCTGTGTTATAAGACATGTGTGATATTACAATGAGTATGAAGAATATTTAAAGAATATTTGCATGTCATTAACGCAAGCCTTTAGTGTCTTTTTACAACAGAAAAAAAAAACAAAAAACGCTGATCAGCCAACAAGAAAGGGGCCCCTGGGAAAGAAAAAGAAAAATATATAATTTGCTTTTCAAAATCGTGGATCCACGTTTCAGTATTATTAGGGGAGTATTTAGAGTTAACGCTACTTTTAAAGTGCATTGCATTATTTAAGAAAATAAAAATTTGTTATCTTTAACATAAACAATTGTTATGTTATATGGTTATATAACAAGAAAAAGATTATGGATGTATAGGATAGTTTTTTTCCAAGATTAAGATTCATCTAGTATGCCTCCATTGATTATAACAAAATGATGAAATGGTATTTTTAATAGAGATCAGATAATTTCTTTTGAGGCAATTCTTAACTACTGTATTGTATTTGTATTGGTATATTGAAAGCATTTTGCTGACCCAGAAGAGAATAAATAATATAATAATTATAAAAGGAACCATACTATGGGAAGAGGTCACCCTATTAAATTGCTAAGGGGTTAAACTCATTTTGATAAGCATATAAAATTCAGTTTTTGTGGTTAGAATTTTTGATACTCAATTTGAACTCAATTGAAGTATTACAACCATATCCTTGCAGGTATAGGAAACAGCTGCAATATGATTTTAATATTTGCAATATATAAATGCTTTCAATGTATTCTGACAATGGAAAAGTTCCTAACCGCATGTCTGCATTACACCGATGACCCAGACTGTCAGTATTGCAAACCCTATATGAAGACTCTGCTTTCACTGTTTATGTATACACCCCTAGACAACCGTGCTATACATGCACAATAAATCTTATTAATATTATATCTGTGAGAGGGGTACACAAAGAGGGGGTGTGAGTTAGGTCATCTCGACCTGCATATGGAATATGCTTCCTTCTTGTTCACTTTTGGTTAAACTGTTGGTCTATGACTGGCCCTCTTTGACCCCAACTGAATTTCTTGGGAAGATTCATGAGAAAGATACAGCAGGTTGTTTTGATATAAAGAAAGAGGGAAAAGTATGTTGTATCGGTCACAAAAGGATTGTGATCTTAAGCAGGCGAGACAAGGACATTTGGGAGGTGATAGGAGATTGAATCAGAAAAGTTTTGAAAGCAAAGGTAGAGAATTTGATCAAAGGATCTAACTTTTGTAGAGGTGGTAACTTCAGCACTGTTTTAATTGTGGATAGCAGGGATTCGCCCCAAGGTGCTCGTGGTGAACCGGGTTCTCCCTGTCAAGCTGGCCCCACTGGTATTGCTGGTGTCCCTGGCATCCCTGGTGCCTGTGGTGCTCCTGGACCTCAGGGCCCCAAGGGTTCCCCTGGACCTATGGGTAACAATGGTGAACCTGGTGCTCAAGGAGATAAAGGAGAACCCAGTGCTAGGGGAGAACCTGGCCCAGCTGGCAGGTTCCTCAATACCAACCACAACTTTCAAGCTATACCCACACCCAACAACCTCAGCCTAATACACAGATGGTTCATGTTTTTAATACTTTATATATAGTTTTGATAGATAAAACAGTATCAATGCTGGCTCTTAGAGGATGTACAAGCTGAAGTTGGGACCTAGACATTGTTTGCATAGGCTGTGCAATGTGACATATCTAAAATAAAATAGGATAATAAGTATGCTTAGTCAATTTGTACCGTGGTATCCTAGAGGCATCTGCAATAAAATAAGTGGGTTTCCAAGACCTGACAAGTGAGGGCAACTTAATATAACATATGTCTACAGTTTGCTGTCCCGTCCTTATCAGACGCCACTTGCAACACAGCAAGACAACTCTTCCGAAACCTGTATTAAACAAAGCACTTTAGAACAATAGTAATTTATTTACTATTTCAAGGTTTAAATTTAAGAACAGCATTTTATTGGGAATTATACCAAAATGTATATATGTTAGTGTTTTAGTACTCAACAAGCATTTATATAGAATGAGTGCTTCTCTCATCCATACAAGGCATTCTAAAGGGAAATTATGTATTCAAATTTTATAAAGGACAAATTCAATGAATTATAAGCAAAACTGAGAGACGTACATGTTACACTAGTTAAGAGTTTAACTTTAGTCTCTAATTTGAGTTTAGCCTAGATAATTAATTTATTGATGTCAATTGTGTTTGTATGATTATAGAGACCGTACTGGAGTATTTGTGCCGCCTGATATTTGGGACTACACACCAATCTCTCTGGCTGACCTACCTGCCTACCTACCTTTTTTGCAATTAAATCTTTTTGGTCAAAAACCATGCTGGCCGAAGAAACTGAGATGCTTACTTATGAGGACATAAACTAACTTGGAAAGTCCTGAAGATGCAGTGCTGTCTAATGCCGCTATTTCTGTATTACCCTTTCAACAATAGGGGTGTTGCACAGAGTATTGTGGTGAACATCCAGCAAACAGAAGAATTAAGAACTATGTGGAAGCTGACATTGTCTTGTTGTCAGCCATATTGCTACCCTTAGCTATGTTATGGTGTTTAAGATTATGGAACAAAGTTTATGGTGTCTAAGATTATGGAACAAAGTTTATGGTGTCTTAAGATTCTTTATACTCCTTGAAAGACTTATAATATTTTTCTGGACTATTGAACTATTTTGTTATTTTTATTTTTGTAGAGTTAGCCGGAGAGAGAGGAAGTGTTAGCTTACTCAGGCATGGATGTACTATGTGTGTCATTGATGTATGTTAAGTGTACCAAGGATAGATTCCAATGTATTAAGTGTGGATATGACTGGACCATCGAAATAGGGATTTGATTAGGAGGCATAGGAGGACGCAAGGTCATGATTGGGATTATTGCTAGAATTGCAAACTTATTAGAAATGATCTCATGATTTAATATGTAAGTGGGCCTTTTCAAACTAATCAAGAAGTGTTTCCCAATCCCGATACCTGCTATTTACTTACATAGTGCAGGTTTTATAAGTCACTAATGCTGTTAACGTGAGGGGATGACATGTCTACACAGTCATGGCCCTCACTTAGAGTTTCCCCAGATGTGCTTTTTTCCTCAATTATGAGTTTTTGCCACTGGGTTTTTTGACCTGGCCCAAGTTCACTGGGTGGACTGGTAATCCAAGACCCTGGTCCAAAGAGGGGAAATAGATTTTATTCCCATTTTTGATTATATGTGTTTACGTTGTGAATTATAATAATAATATTCCTGTTGTTGGGAATAATACACTTTGCCTGTTTTGATCCAAGGCTCAAGTTACAGATAACATGATGTGCAGTCTGTTTAAAATTGGTTAAGATGTCAGCTGTTTGAAATATTTAACTTGTACACTTAAAAGATGTGTACAACAGATGATTACAGAAGCTGAAAATCGACAGCTCGATCTCCTCTTAAAGGGAAAACCTACAGCACAGAGCAAATGGGGGAAATCGAGGTGAAGAAATAAAGTCCCGCAGACGTGATTAGCACGTCTGAATATATCTCCTTTGGTTTCTCTGCCGCAGGCCTCCCATGGATATTCCGTAAGGTAGTTCATGATATGATCTAAGAGGGGAATTGTAGATGCGAATATCCATTATGCTCAATATCCTAGCTGTTCATATAAGGGTTAATTTGACCCAAGAATAAATTTGGAATTGTATCTCCAATTCTCGGAAATAAAACTTATCTATTTATTGGAACATGATTTTGTTATGTTCCTGGAAAAGGATATTTACATGACATGACATGACATGACATGATAAGGATTCTGGAATGACCTTGTTAATTGTCCAAGATTTCGGTATTTGTAATCATCTGGGTTTTATCCAATATGCATACATTATGTAACATTGAATTATAACTAAAAACAGCTGTTTATAACTTGTGAAAAACAATGTAATTGTCACGCCCATATGCTCATTTTTCCCCCTCCCATCCTGCTATGAAAATGGGGTATAAATATAACTGACGTATGAATACAATTTGAATTGGTTATTGAACATGTCTCTGCTATTCATTTCCAATTTCCAGAGCTCTGTATGAGTTGGCAAATATCCATCATCCACAAAGGGCCCGGGCTGATTTTATCCCCAACATTGTTCAAATTTTCGCTGAAATATTGGGCCTTTGCCACTTTTGTTTTTGTGCATGCATTTCACCATTGTCTGTAAGTACAGTGATTGTTCATGGAGCCAGTACGCTTGAGCTTTGACCACAGTGAATCTCTAAACTGGTACATTTGAATGAGGTCCGTTGTAACCCAGGGCAGGTGTGTCCCTTTTAATCGCACTTTACGCAGAAGGGCATGAAAATTCCAAACACGCAAAAGCTCCGACTGAAAAAATGAAATTTGCAGAGTCTAGATATGGTATTACATACACAATAGGTGGAGTATCTTTGGTTATTGGGTACAGAGTATAAGGTAATATGCAAGGGTACAGTGAAGTAACTGTAAAAACAAAAATATTGACAAGCACCTAGTGCAATATCATACAGTACATGGGTAACTTTATAGTAATTGCGTGAATTGGTACTCACAAGGACAGAGCCAGATGAATATGGCTCAATATTTGCACCTGTGAGATAGTTATGAGGGATCCCACTCCCAAAAGAGAGGTGGGGAGATTGGGACTAGAATTAGCTGGGGGACCAGGGTTAGACTCCACATCATTTGCAAGGGAAGGTAACATAAGGAATAGGAATTTGGACATCATTTTTGTTTGCCCGTATAGTGAGTGGGATACTTTATAATTTTGTGAGGTGGGGTAGGATGGCTATTTTTTTTTATAACGCTCCACCAGCACCCAGCAGAAAAGTTACAGCAATAGAGCAGTGTATGATAATTTGTTTTCCAGTTTGAGGTGTGTGCTTATGGCGGTAGTGAGGTGAAAAAAATTGGAGTGAGAAAATGGTTATTAAGAATAACAGTGTAGTCATATTTGGATTCATGTTAGTGGTACGAGGTGTGTAGATGAAAACAAAACACAAATAGGGAAAAATAAATGTTAAAAAAATAAATAAAAGTATATAACATTGTTGTGATATATAGCTGTTTGTAGGGAGAGAGGGTTAAGAGATTGGAAGGATGTGCTGATTAGTGTTTGCATCTGTCATTTCAGGAGAATCTCTAAATGAGGAAATGATCTTGGGGTTGGTGGGTGAGGGGTAGGTTGGGATGGGGGGAAAAGGTCTTCCAGAAGGCTACCTGTTGCAAAGGGCAGTGGAACAGCTGCAAAGGTCAGTGATTGAGCTATGGGTTGTTTGCTGGGCTGGGCAAGTTTTAAAATCTGGCTGAGGGAGAGAGTTATATTAGGGATAGATGGGCTAAGGGATGGGAGAGATGCATCTCTGGACATTTGATTTAAGGGTCATTTAAGCAAAGACAACGGGAATGATTGAAAATTACAGAGATAAGACAGAGGTATTCATGTAGGGAATTAAAACCATTAAACAAATAACAAGGAAGATATATGGGCCTGAGCTGGTTAAACTAACTTTTAACATAATGGACAAGACAAAGGTGATCAAATAAGCAATGTGCCAGGGATATGCAAAGTATGATTAGCACAGGCTGTTACAAAGACATGGAAATATATACATTGAGAATAATAAAATAATCACTAAATATAAAAACAACACAACAATAATAACAGGATACGTAAAAATATAATGAAATGTTGGTCTTCCAGAAGGCTACGTGTTGCAAAGGGCAATTGAACAGCTGATTAAGCTCTGGGGTGTTTGCTGTGCTAGGTAAGTTTTAAAATCAGGCTGTTGCAAAGGACAGTGGGACAGCTGATTGAGCTGTGGGTTGTTTGCCGGGCTGGGTAAGTTTTAAAATCAGGCTGTTGCAAAGGACAGTGGGACAGCTGATTGAGCTGTGGGTTGTTTGCCGGGCTGGGTAAGTTTTAAAATCAGGCTGTTGCAAAGGGCAGTGGGACAGCTGATTGAGCTGTGGGTTGTTTGCCGGGCTGGGTAAGTTTTAAAATCAGGCTGTTGCAAAGGGCAGTGGAACAGCTGATTGAGCTCTTATAGAGGGAAAGTTTTAAAATCAGGCTGTTGCAAAGGGCAGTGGAACAGCTGATTGAGCTCTTATAGAGGGAATGTATATGTATATAGATATATATATATATATATATATATATATATATGGGAAGGTGGAGCCTGGCGTTGTGGGAGGGGTTGCAACCGGCCTATATAAACCCACTACTTACCTCCATACCTTGCTGACAGCGCTTGGTTACTTCCGGTTCCGGTCCAGACGGCGGGAATCAACGATCAAACTACAGCTCAGCCAGGTCATTCAGCCTCCACATCAGCAGGATCTCCAACCGTTAACAGGCATGGCGGTAGCAGGTACCCATCGTTCACGGAGGGCTCGCCGACTGCCCACTACACCACAACTTCCGGAGCGCCGGGTCGCACTTCCGGGTTCAAGATACCGGTAATCGTGAGTACGGGCATACGAACGACCAAACACACGAACAATATACAATACATTTCAACACATCTGGGCGAACAGTAATAATGCACGAATCACATAACAGCCGAATGACGCGGGTAATGGGAGCACATACGGATAAGTCTTAATCCACGAACGCCTTATATCGGTTCTAACCACACGGATCTAACAATGTCAAACTCACGAATAGGGCATTTAAAACACACGAATTGCAATATGTTTTAGAACACTCAGGGAAAAAAAATGTGATACTGCCACCTACAGGCGCATTTAACATATGACACTCTATGTGTGGAACTGTTTATATTAAAATGGTTTTCTGTGTATATGTATTAAGGGAATAACATAATACGTATATAGATCGGGTAACTTTGTCACTGATACATATTAAAGGTTACAACACGGGTTATAAAATATTTAAAGGGATATCCACAATAGATATTTATTTTAAGCATATCGGTTAAGAGATTTTAGAAATACAGAGTAAATAAATTAAAGTAATAAGGCAGGCGTATACATTTATAGCAGTCTGATTACAACCGTAGGTAACTAAATAGATATAAATCACGCAAAGTCTCAGTGGAAGCGGCAATTAAGGGGGAAAGGGAAGGGTACCATTGTATCAATATACGGCATATGGGTAAAAGTAGGTATACAGGTGGATGAGGTAAGTTAAAAAAATTGTATTGTCATGTCCTTGCAGGTGGGTTTGTTCTCAATTGTCAACACACGAACATCCCAGCACAAGGGAGTGCTGGTAATATACGGTACGTTCATTATGGATAATTAGGTGGCAGTAATACGCAAATCCGCTCAGAGCTAGAAACATAGTATTAACATCGTACATAGTTCGAACTGGTAAAGGGCATCTTATTACGTCTTACCCTTGTAGGTCAAAGATTCATCAAGACCAACGCTGGTCATAACAATTCGTCAGAGACATAGACCGCACCTTACCTCTTGGGAATTTAAATAGAATCAAACAATTAGTTGTGGTACAGGTAATAAAATAAAAAACTTTATCTTTTTGGTTAGGGGAGGGGTACGCCTATTCGGGTGTTTTACTTTTATTATTTTCATCTTAGGCCAAGCAAACTAAGCATATACAACCACAGCCGTAACCTAAAGACCCACTCGTCAGGTACGTATTAGTCAAGGAATCATACTTACGACACAATATAGCCACTGGCACAATAGTTGTACATAAATTTTTTTTTCTATTTACCACAATAATACTTCCCTAATTTTCCTCATCACAGAGGTATTCAC